CATGTCGAACATTTTGTTCGCTTCAATGGCCCAGCGACTAGCCTGTTTATGGGCTCTAAGCCCAAGCGTCCTGTTCAGCCCATAAAGTGTTGGCGCCATTCGGCGGAAGTATCTGAAATCAACAGAGATGCTGGCCAAATCAGCTGGAACCCATAATACGAAGCTTTTCACCGCACTTTGGATTCATGCTTATGGGGGTTTTTTTTATAGGAATAAACATGAAGAAAGGGAAACCAATATAGGGATTTAATTTTACAATTGAGCTGTGAAACGTATTCATTTTCGGTTGATTTTAAATACCTTCCTATTATTATTCACTAGGTTTCTATGGCACCCAAAATAAATGTCTTGACCCCTGACCTTCTTAGGCCTCAAGTACCCAACTTAAATTGTCAGTCCTCAGCCGCATCACTGCCCAAAAAGCACTTCAATCTCGAGACAAATCAACTGCTGTTAGCCGGAGGCAGGCATCTAAATTTGGCATTCGGCATTGTTGCTTACGATGTGCGGGACAATTTTAAATGGGAGCAAAGCTGGCTGTCGAGATGGAAATCTCGGAATCTCGTTGCCGCCAAGGCCAAAAGGCTCATGCCGGGCCATAAGAGACAATTTGTTTGGTCCTGCTTTAAGCCCGGACTGGCTTGGTCTGCGGCCAAAAGCATTTGTTATTTTTCTTAATTAAATCTTAATTTTTCTTCCGCCTGCGTGTGCGAGGCTTAAAATAAATGAACGGCTGATGAATGCCGGCGACCGCTGGGCTTAATGTTGATACAGGAGCGGGGTTAAGAGCTCACGATGTGCAGTCATGCACCGTGGGGCGACAATAGTAAAACTGCATGCCGAACGACAGGCAGTCAGTGGGTGAGTCTGCAGTCAGCCATCTGGTCGAAATCCCACCCCAACCCTTGACCTCTGTCGCCATCTACATTGAAACCCATTTAAGTTGAGCTCGGAGGGGGCTGCGAATGCCACTAATTAAGCCTAATGGCGCATGAAACATGCATTAAAACTAATGTGCAAGCCTCGTCGCCATAGTCACAAAAAGGGGTGGAAGAGATGGCCTTGCCATTTGTGTTGGTGTTGCTGCTGTGCCCCCTTTTCTGCCCCGTTTAATGGTGACAGCCTAATTTTATGCTACGCAATATTTTGTTGTTGAAGTAAGAGGCAGTTTCATCCTGTTAATGGGCGGGGTGGGGTTGAAAGGGGCTCGTAAGGATAAATTATGGAATTAAGTTCGTCCCAACTAAATAGTCAATTTGATCATTGGCCAATGCAATTACAGCTTCCAATCACGGGTTTTTGAAATGTTGTGGATTTCAATATAGACTTTTGTTGAAACGAAATTAATGGATTAAAATTTTGTAATTGCAATAACTTTTTGATCGTTTATTACAACGATATCAGATTTTGTTTCTACACAAAAAGGTATCAAGTCGATATGCGCATGGTAAATTTCTGGTATTTATGCGCTTATCCTTTTTATCATGCAACAATAATAAAATTAATTAATATTAAATATTATCATCTTGACGATTTTTCTCTCAGAGATTCCATAACTTAGAAAAAGAGACGAAGAAGGGTAAGAAAAACGAATTCTTTTAATCCCCAATAGAAAGAGGTACATGAGTTACATGAGTGGGACGAAGAAAGACATATTCGAGCATATCGAATTGATATGCCGCGTGTCAAGTCAATAGTTATACCAGACAATATCAAATTGATCATCGTTTTATACCAAGCTTTTTTTTGTGTGTAGCTTAGCTAAATTCCCATCTTTCTCCAAACTGAATGTGGTTTAGTTTCGGTTTAGCAAACTCTAACCAGGGGCTAAAAAATGACAGTTTCGATTGAAGGACTATTTCAAGGGGCACATGATTAGACCACCTGCCATAACCCCCCAACCACTAGATATTCGCTGTCAAGGAGCACTGAACCGACCACTAATGAAACATTATGGCCGTGTGTAGTAAAGCAGGCAGGGCAGACAGCCCCGCCGCAAAGCCCTAAAAACGTTTACGGCTCGCTGTATATGTGGATGTACGTGCAACATGGGCCGTGGTCCAACCGATAAGTGGCACGTAGCAGCGACAGCAAAAGCCACAAAAGTGTCCTCTCAAATTGCCCGCCTGCAACACGTTTCCAGCAGCTGCAATTGATTTTCCCTGGCAACGGCAACCGTTTCCGTATGTGGGCAACAGTTCCAACATTCTGAGCGGGGGCTTCTTTTAAAATAATCAACAATTCATATTGCACGAATGTAGATTCGGTCTACGATGTTTTGCCGCTTCATTGAAGCAATAAATTTAAAATTTTCGCAAAATGCCAGGAGCATGATATACGTCGAATGATATACGAGTGTGCTGGCACTCCTATGAATGTGTGCGTAGCACTTTATGAAGCGGGCACTCGGCCTTCGACCGGAAGCGACTTACGCACGGCTGCATTCTGCCGGAAGTCGGGCGGAGAGCGAGATAGAACAATAAAAGTCGGCGGGGTAGTGGCATTCGTATTCCATTCCCCCACTCGAATGAATGTCAACACGTTGATAACAAAATACACGAAACCAAGTTGCAGAGAAAGCAAAAAAAACTTTTTGCAAAATATGAAAATGAAAAATACAATCCGTGAAGAAGTGGACGTGAATTTTCCACACACAGAACTTGCCACAAAAAAGTGCATGATAAATTCAATCCCAACTATTAAGCCATGCAATTTTTATTGCTGCACGTATTTTAAATGAAGGACGAATGTTTACAAAATATTATACCCAGCTATAAAGAAGAAGAATTATCAATTACTAGTGAATTTTAAATTTGTGTGGTTTCCTCAACAGGACCTGTATATTGTAAGCGATGCGATTTCTTTCATTTAGCTGCAAGGAATGTTTCAATGCTATATTGTTTGGCGAAAAAATTAAATTCATTTTTATGAAAACAATAAAGTATTCGCTTGGCTGGGCAAGCTAGCCAGAAATGAAACAAAACAATAAAGAACAAAACACAAGAAAAACTCCAAACAATTTGGCTACGTAAAATTAATGAAATTTACGTTAGCTACTATATCAGGCATTTCCATTGTTACCAAAAGTGACGTTTAGGGCGAGGATTTTGTATTCTTTTATACGCATTTTATTTTAATTTATAGTTGTGGCCGTCGGTTGAGGTGAAAGGCGAGCAGAGACCCCACAATGACCAAAAGTTTATGCATTGTAATGCGTTCCGAGGAAGAGTGCACAGTGAATGCTCCCTGAAGATGACTCAGGCGAATGATAAACACTCTTCCCCTTCATCCTGCCCCTTTTGGGGGCTATTGTGGATTATTTGTGTGTCATTGGCCATTTAAGTCAAAGCTTCTCTCGGGGCGAAGAACAAGTTCTAACGTTCTCCGAAAGGAAGCAGCCAGTGCAAAGTGGTGTTTTGTGGTGCCATTTTGGTGTGGTGTCATTTGTCTTCCTCAGGCTACAAAGCTGACGTTCAGGGTAATTATAGTATAGATATAGAAAATAGCTTTGTTAGCCTTAGGATTATGGGGATAACATGAGCTTGATCCTCTTGGGGCTCTACAAGTTGCCGAGTCATTGTTGTGGAGGAGTTGCTGGAGAAAAGCTTAAAGAAAAGTTATATTCAGATAGTAGAAAAACTTAAATTCAATTACTTCATTTATTACTGATAAATACGCAGTTCTAAGAAGGACCAAATTATTTATTTTCCCTGAATCATAAGTGTTAATATATATATTCATCATTTCTCAGTCGATCAATTAAACTCTACATTAATACCACTATTCAATAAACCGTAAAGCAACTTCCAACCGACTGTGAATATCCCTCCACATGCCCTTTAGCCATCGTTAAAAGTGCAAGCATTTTGCATAATAAGCTGCTTAGACGGGGTACCAAGCCAAAGAGGAGGGAAAAAAATACTTGCCATAACTTAAATTGAAAATGTAATGCTATTAACACCCCCCTCCCGCCCCCTGGGTTAAATTTGCATATAACAAGCCAGTCATGTTTAAAGTGTTGAATCCGCGCCCCCCGTTTCCACCGCATGCAACATTTTGCATAATAAACAGATTAGTTTTTTGGACTTAACTCACCTGCATGTTCTGCCCCCACAAAACATCTACAACAAACAAAGGAAACAAAGGCTGCAATGCTGCCTTGTAACATGTAATTAGAACTTACATTGCCTGCTTTTGGGCAGTGGCCTTTGTTTATGCAAATATTTAAACACTAGACTACTTAACCCACATTCAAATGCCAGAGAAGCCTAACACACACGCCACATAAACACACAAGAGGTCCCGAAAAGTATGCAGCAGCAAGGAACATGTGTCATGTTATATAAGCACCCTCCCCCGACCACGCCCACTAACACACACACACAGACACACAGCGCTTGCAAGGCTAAAAGCACAACACAACAAATTGGCACTAACAACAAGAACACCACAACAACAATAACAACAACACACAAAAAGGATGAACAACAAACACCAGAACAAGAAGAAAATGTTTAAGCAAGAACTGCATTTTAAAATATTGTGTGTGTTTTTTCTTCCCATTCCAACCCCCTCTATTCCAATTTAGCGCTTGGCCTAAGAGTATGCTGCATCATTAGTGTCACACCAACGACTACAACTACAACTACACCAATAGAAACACCAACACCGAGGAGGAAAAAGGAAAAACTGGGACCGACTGCAGCTGGGAAAATTGAAAATGTATGCTCATTAGCAAGGACAGTAAAAGCGCATTGCAAGGACCGAAACGACAAGTTCCTAAGTCAAGCGCCGAACTGCAAAAACAACGACCATTCATAATTAGCAGCAACAACAACAACAACAGTAATAGTGAGGGGTGGCTGATGGGCAGAAGGACAGCTGGCAAAAGTCAAGGACGAGCTTTAAAATAATTCACGAAAGCATGGCCAACGGAAGCAACTCCAGTTATCTAGAGCCCCACAAGAAGCCAGCGGCCTCAGCGAGCTGATTTCGATTTCGATTTTGAGAATTGGACAAATTGGAAGAGCTCGCAAATTAACGCCGGGAAAATTGACAGATTCGATTAGCAATCTAAAAAGCATAAAGCCAGCGAAGAAACGACAGAGACAACAGCCGGCGGCTTCTTTAATTTGTCAACCATCCACCACCCAGCATCCACCCAACGGACTTCCGCTAAATCCATCGCCCTAAGCCGACAAACATCGAGTCATGCCTGAGCAGGATAATTACGATGATGAGGTAATTTCTTTTGTTATACTTGCAAACGCACCCAACAACCGTGCTGTGCGCCAAAAAAAAAGAAGAATATGTTTTGGGCCCCAAATATAATTAGGCATAATTAATTTTAAAAACAAATATTCCCCAAAACGTGTGTGTGCGCGTGCCGGGTTACCCGGTTCCGTTGCTTTCTTCCCGAATTCCTGGGATTAGCCGAGCCCCATTCGAAATTCAAAGAAACTTGTTGTTGGGATTAAAATTTCAAATTGTTTAATGGCTGGGAAAATTGAAAAGCGCCGGCAGTATGCTGGTATTGGAAAGAGGGCTAGCTGACGTAAGCAGATTGAATGGGTTATTGTTCTGAAAGTTAATTAACATATTTATAATGACTTTTCGAGGAACTATTTTAATAATGCTCTTTTTTGTTTTAAAAATTGTTAGAAACTCTTTAAGAGTGTGTCATATAAGTTTCACGAAGAAATTTGAAACTATAAAAAAGTAATGCATCGATCATCATGCTGCATTTACAGAAATGCTTGTAAGGAATTTTCCTATTGTCTAAACCTACATAATATTGAAATTTGTGTTGAAATGAATGTTTCAAGATTTCTGACAATTAATTTAAAAGAATACTTGAAGTATACAGAAGATTAGAACGCAGTGAAGAAGATTCCGACAAATTCCTTAATCAATACCTTATGCGAGCTCTATTGAAATTTTTAGAATCGTTAGAAATTAACTGAACTCAGATTACGTCCAGAAAACGGCCCTAGCCTGTATCCTATTTTTAGTCCCAACTTATGTAATTTGTTAAAAAAAAAACGGTAACTAACATTAAATCTTAACAACTCATAATGAAGATGATTACAGTATTAACTTGAATGTTGATTACCCAAACAATTTAGTTAAAGTTTTAGTTCAGGGCTTTTCATAAATTTGCTTAAACCGATTTGTTGATAAAATAGTAAAGCGAATGGCAAGCATCCAGTGACATTTCGGGAAATCCCCTGATTGGTTTACCCAAAGATTACCTTCCGCGATTGGACTTATTATTAGCTCCACTTGGCCGACAAGCTGACTAAGCTCTTCCATCGCCACTTCAGTCGCGAGTCACTCTGATTTCAACTGGGAGAAGTACTTTGGCAAGGCAGAAAAGTTCTCTCAACGACTCGTAGCCGAGGCAACTTGAGCTTCCTCCCAGCGTTTTCATCATCCTCCTCTGCTTTTCCGGCTTTTCCGACTTGGATGGTCAGTCAGCTTTTCCCGCTTCGCTGCATTCTTTGCGGCGCCGTGGAATCAACTCTGCGGCTGGGATGCTAATTGAAATAAATTCCGCATGTTATTCAAATGCAAAGCGCTGACAGAGCTGACTACAATTGCGAAATTGAATTAGCCATGCACCGCATGTCTGTGACTGTGTGTGCTTCGCACACTAAGTTGTCTGTTGGGGGTGGGGATTTTCCAGCCCGAGTGGGAGTGTCAATCGGCTGCAAAGATAAACAGCCAGTCGAAATGGCAATCAGCCATTCGAGCGGAAATCAATTAGCCGGAATTTCCACTCCGATTTCTACCCGCGACGGGCTGCTTTTTGGCAGCGTAAAGTGTCGCCGATCCATTATAGGAGCAATTGAGTTTGACAGTGCATACCATGTACATATTAACCGTTTTGACTATGCTAATTCTGAATGATGGGTGTTATTGTGCAAGAGAAACTGCGATTAATTGAACACAGAAATAAAAGTTAAAAAAACAATACTGTTTATTTGTTAACCTATAGGTTTTTCTGAAACCTGAAACAAGAAATATCGCTATAGTCAAGTACCTTGACTATCAGATACCCGTTACTTAGTTAAAGAAGGTGCTAGGGAGATTTTATTATAGTACATTATAATATAGTATTTACTCTACGAGTAACGGGTATTTTCGATAAAACACTAGAAAACTATTAAAATAATTTAAAAAACATTAAGACATCGATTAAAAATTGTAAAGTACAATTTCTAAAATTGACAACATTTCTGTACCATTTTTAACCGAAATGTATCAAGTTCAGCCAACCCTATAATCATAAAAGTAAAACACCTGGGGAATATGATTGAAAACAATCACTCTTGCTTGAACGGCCACTGCACATCGCATTCAATTGTGTCAGCGCTGGCATATTACATTTTATTTTGACAAATTCAGGTAACTTAACGACCGCCGACAGGCGCGACACCTGCAAAGGCAGGTTGGAAGAGGAGAAAACAGAAAAATAAGCAATCATGGCCGTGTAATGGAAGCTCAAGTATGTGTTGACATAGAGGAAAACCCGGGCACACAGAGGAAAACCCGCACCCACGTGACAGTTATAGCAAATGCTATGCCGTTATGGCCTTGAGCTAAACTGCTGTTGACAACAGCAAGAGTCAATGGAGGGGGAGGGGGGAATCGCAGGTAGACAATGGGGCTGGCATGCCGGAAAGCCAGACACAGACAGGCACAAACACACACACACACATGCTGAAGGGCCCCACCAACACACTCGCAACAGCCTAATGCAAGTAGCGTGCAAGGATGCACTTCTATATGGCCGCATTCCTTTCACAATCGCCGAAGGACTGTTTATGGATTTCATGTTTGGCAGGAAGGCAGCAGGCCATAAAGATTGCTTACTAATGTCAATCCTCGCGGGTCTCACGCAACAAATCTATATACGAACTTTTCTGTGCCCGGAAATCGCAGGTTCGCAAACGACTCTTTTATATTTTTTTATAACCTATAAAAATGAGTTAAACGAAACCTTTTTTTAACACATTTTTTTTGGCTTAAGAATGAAGGTAAAATCTTTTTTTGTTATCATTTAAATTAAATCCTAACAATTTAATTATCCCGTATAATTGTTTTAAATTTTGCAATAGCTAAGAAATTTAATTTCAAGATGCAAAATCTTAAGAACCCAAATTCAAGGACCATAGTGACCTTCTTTTTGTGTGCCAAACAGATGGGTTTTAATGCGATTAACTGGCCCATCTCCAACGCTGCTGAGCCAACTCGAAAGTTAATTGAAAACGACACTTTCACTGCCAGCGGGATATACCCACGCCCCTGCCAGTGCCCCGCCCCTTTCACCTCGCCCAAACCAAACTCATTTTCCCCTTTCGTTCGGCAAATACTATAACTGGCATCTATTTTTAATGCGCTTAAAAGTGTGCAGGAAAGAATTTTAACGCTCAGAGCTTAATAACTATGACAACTTATGCAAATAACTGGCGGCTCTCCCATCCCCTGAAACCCCCTTGGAAACCCCCCTTAAACCAGCTGGCTCTTTCAACTTTCTGCACTCGAGGAGCAACCAAAGTTTGCCCAGCTCAACCGCAAAAGGCAGCTAATGCTCTACTTGAAATTGTAGGTGTATGTGGGTGCCATGAGTCCCGTCTCCCATCCGCATTATCTCTGGCCCCTGGCCAGCTCAGAGAAAGCGAAAGTGAAAGTGGGGTGGTGAGAGCAGGTGGAGGGAGGAGGACTTAATTTGGTTATTCCCTGCTTTTAAGCTTGGTCGGGGTAAAGTTTCCAGTTTACCCACAATGGCTTAAATTTAAACTCTGAACGATGCCTGAAAAAGAATACTTTAGCAGTTCGGGTTTTCGGGTGGATTAAATCTCAGGTAACCGAGAATTTAATCAGTTTCTACGTTTTTTTCCTTTTCCCGATGGGAAATACTGGCTTTCCTGTTTGCGGACAGAATAAAAATGGAATGATAACAATGTTGATTCAAAATCCCACGGTAATCAAAAGTCAGCAAAAATAAAGAGCCAAAAAAATACGAGAAAATCCAGCGAACAAACATCATTAAACGGTGAAAGAGATTTACTTTTTTCACAATCTCTGGTTGCCGCCTTTTTGCTTCCTTCTGCACTTAAATCGCTATCCGTTTTCATTACGATTTCCGGCCGCGCATTTCATTTTCATATATCAAGTGTCGCATTGTGTGCAATTTTGGTTACAATATTTTCCGAATCGGGCCGCAAAGTTTACAATGCCAGGAAATTCCCATAAAACAAACGGCCTTCGCTTTTATTTATTGCTGCTCGGGGAAAGCGAGATCGCTGGGAATCGGAAAATCTTTGCTTAAAATCTGTAAAGTTTATTTATTTATGGTCCTTGAATGTAATCAATACATATTTCGGTGTAAATATTTGAAAGGCACAGTTTCCGAAAAAAGGTAATAATACCAGATAGTTTGAAAATGTTGTTTAAAAAATTAAAAATGTTTAAACATTTAAATAAATTTGTCTTCCACTTTAGGGTGCCTTTGTTGCGTTGCCAGCTGGATTTACGGCCAACAAATTTTCCCTGCTCCAAAATTACTCAGTCTAGGAATAATATTTTCCGGCCTAATAGCAAGGCATTAAAAATTTATTGAAATTAATAGGAGGCGCTGCTCATGTGCTGTGCACATTCCCTGGCATCCTTCAAATCCCCCCATTAACTCAGAACGCCAGAAGTAAACTCATTGAATTTTGCGGCAGCGACGGCCTTTGTTCAAATTGATGACTGTCATTATTTTTAATTCCTTTAGCGTTAACAGCAACTCATCAAGTTGAGTGTTTAAATTCCATTTATGGTCTTATTTTTGCATATTTACTTGAGCTTGTGTGTAAGTATTTTCCATCCTGGCAATCAAGCTGAGTGTTTTGAGCTCTCCTGTCCTTAAGACTCCATTACTTGACCCTCCCGACGAGAATAAATTCAATTCAATTAAGACAAATGAAGTATACGCCGCGTGAGCCCTCAAGAAATCATTATTATTATGATTGCTTCCACGAAAATATTTTCATGCAGCAGAGCAGCAAAGTAAAGTTACCCGAAAGTTCGCCAAGCTCGAGGTCTCTATTGTTGTTTGATAGTTTAGTTTACGTAGTTTTCACTTTATTTGCGGCGCAACTCCGGCGTAAGTAATAAATACTGGTGCTGGTTGCGATTTATACGCACACATAGAGATGGAGATGGGGAGTCCTTATAAATAAACATGCAGGTACACGTGTTCTCTCGCAATTTGTCCCCCATTTGTATGTGAGCCGTGTTATTAATTAAGATTCGCGCTTTGCCGGTCTGCACTAATGGCCAAGAGGGAAGCTTCGCGGGTTGAGCATACTATATTTATGCGATTTTAATTGAACGCTCCCTCTCGTTTGGCGAGTAATGGTAAACGAACTTTGTGGGAAAATCGATTAGTTGTCGACTTTTGTCTTACGGTCTTCGTTGGTCGAAGTGAAATATGTATTAAAATCAAATTATAACACAAGTTTATTAAATTTACAAGAAATGTCAAGAATTCTAATAAGAAAATCAGCTTAAATGCTAAAAAAAATGCCTATCCCTGTCCCCGGAATTAATTTGATAAGCCCAAGCATTCCGGCACGCAACTCTTGATTAATACATTGCCATTTCTTTATTATCTAGCGGAGGAGCATAGTTTTATGAGCCCTTAATTAATTATTCGGCTAAGCGGCGCTGTATATGTGCATGTCGCACATAAATATACAAACTGACTAGGACGAAATCGGGCAGAGTCCCCGGGAAGGTATCAACTTGTACGGGCTGCGTGAGTTTAGTTTTTGTCGTGTTTAATTTGGGTTTCTGTTTTCCTTTGTTCCTTGACAACATTAAATATGCATTAAGCGTTGATTTCCAAGGGGTTTCGGCTGGGCCCGTGTTTGTTCTATATGCTCTCGATATAGGGACTGTGTGCTCGTTTGGGGGCAGACATAAATTAAGAAGGAAAACCGTTTATGAGCCCGCACAGAAAGGGAAAACTGAATCATCAGTTTACTAATTGCATCTTGGCCAACCAATTATTTGCGGTTCTGGCCGGTTTATTATGGCTTATGGCCAGCCTTCATAACTTTCGGGGGTAATGGGACGCACGTGCTCTTTATGGACAGCATTTGCATTCCATCGTTTCGCAATTAATTCTCGCAATGTTTAACCGTTCTTTCTGATTATTTTCTTGTGATTTCCCACAGTTGGTCTCCAGCAATCCCAACCAAAGGAACTGGCGCGGGATCCTCATCGCGCTATTGGTCATCATCATTGTCCTGGCCCTGATTGTAACTTCGGTGGTGAGTCTGATGCAAAAATAGCATGATGTTTGGTTATGGTCCCTTGTGCTGTAATCAGGCAAACAACCGGTCTAATTGTAAAAATCGGTGTTACAAATGAATTTATGGGCAATTAAGTAGGATTCAATTGCTGGGTGGCTCGCCCCATTGACAAACATCAATGATTGGCCAACCCGAAATCCCAAAATTGATTCAACTAACGCACTATACAATTAAATTTGTTTTGGAAAGCAAGCCCAAAGCTATAACCACAATACTGTCAAAACAAAAGCACATTTAGCTCGCCCACACGAAAACAGTAAAAATACGATCTAAATAGAGAGGCAAAATTACTCTATAAAAGCGAAATTTAAATACTCTGCTAAAACTAATATTTATACTTTAAATAAAGCATTTAAAGTCGGTGGTCTTTTATAAAATTAAATTTGAAATGTGAAATTTTAATTTCAATTTATAGAATTTATTACGCAAGTCAGCAATATTATTGTCGACTTGGAAGAGTATAGAAACTAGACACTCTTACTCCGTTCACTTCAAAAGCACACACAGAAAAAAACAAATTCTCACTCGTAATTGGATGGTGAAAGTTTTCTCTTTTAATTGGCGAATCTCAGCCGTTCAACAACAACATTTTTGTGGCCTGCTTTTTGGCTGCTCGTGTAAATATTTCAACAACATTCAGTGCCAAAGAAAAAGGAAAACTCAAACTCCCATTAATATTTATGTGTATTTTTATATGTATGTACTTATGTATATATATTTAAAGCAATTGTGATAAATTTTTGTGTAAATACGTTACGCTCATTTTTGTCTTTTGTCTGTTTGTTTACTTTTTGCGATTTTGTGGCTGCCTGATAAATTTACCTTCCCCACACCACCGACCATTTTCCTTTCCATTCGTTGTTGCTGTTGCTGTTGATGTTGTGTGTGTGTTATTCACGTGTGCCTGCCTGCCTGTCTGTCTGTCTGTCTATCTGTGTGAGTGTGCAGAAGACAACATATAAAATTTCTACATTTATCAAAAAAGGTGCTGCTCACGCCCCCCGATGAGGGACCGCGGGTCAAAGGGCAGCGCATCAAGCTGCAGGACATCGTCGATGGCCTCTTCGTGCCGCAGAACTCAAACAGCAGCTGGATCGATGGTGAGTGCTATACTCAAAAAAAATATATATTCGTTGTTAGTCTTGGGTGTAATAGAAATCACATGGGTTTTAAAATCATTCATTAAGGTGCTTAAAGTGTACTGTACTTTTGCTTACTTCCTAAGCACATTAAAAGTGATTTCTACATATAATAAAGAATTTCTTATCCAAACATCTAGGGATACAAATATTTTATTCAAGTTTATTTTACTTCCTTAAAATAAAAAATTTTTTAAATAATGTAAATAAGTTTGAAAATAATAATTTTCGTATGAGGTAAAATCACTAAAGTTTTTAAATCACTTTATTAGGTGCCTAAAAGTATGCACTAAATAAAAAAGCTTTATTCAAAATATAATGTTACCTTCTTTTTAGACACCGTTTAAGTGATTAAAAAAGCTGAACTATTTGATTTGGCCTCTCCTAATACCTTGAATTATTTTTTTCCATGTATGTGATGAGTGCTTCTCAGTGGCCGTTCTATCGGGCAAATCGCTTTTAATTTCCGCTTTCATTTCATTTTTTGCAGGCGAGGAGTTTCTGTACCAGGACCATTTGGGTCGCATCTGTCTGCTGAATGCAGCCAATCGCTCGGAACGTGTCCTCATGTCCAATGTGACATTTGTAAGTACATTTTGTTGAATTCCAGCCACCCCCTTTGACCACCCACTACTGCCGCTGTTTGTTTGCTTATTGCTTATCTCTCTGAGCAGAATAAATATTTGCCCCATCTTATTTACGAGTCGGGGAGTTGTCGGAGTTGTCCTAGATATGGCGGCGGGGAGGTGGGCGTGGCAGGCTAGGCAGATATCTCAAGTGTACACACTCGACTTGGCAATGTTAACTGATATTATGGCGCGCACAAAAGTGGGCGAAACAAATGGGCCAAGTTATCGTTAACCGAGTGCGGCGACTTTCCCCTCAATCCACAGCGATGGCGATAAAAGGCAAAAAGATTTTTATGTCAATGACTGGGTAAACACATGTGGAGGAAAGCGGGAGGTGAAAGGCTTTCTAATGAATAATGCGCGGATGGAATTGAAAAACAAACAAATAAGGGAAACTCAAGGCAAAGAAAATGAATGCCAGACGAAGGAGGGCGGCGAACAGAAGCTTTCCTTTGCCAACTTGGCAGGCGAACATTTCGAGTGCCTCGAGGGGCCAAAAATGCAACAAGTGCAGCAACTGCAAGTCAACAGTTGCCAGTTGAGTGGGGAAATAATTAATGTGCAGCCGAATCCAAAGAAGCACGAGTGAGCAGTCGAAACGGCATAATGGCAATGCATATTCATAGCCGGCTAAGAAACTGGCACAAAGTTACTTTGCCTTCAGACGCAAAACAAGAAGTGAGCAATGAATAGCTAAATGTAAAACATCAAGTCGGCTCTTGATTGAGTTGGTCCATTGAGAATAATTTACAGATTGTTTTCCCAGCCAAATTAAGGCAACTCTTTGGCAACAATTTCTGGGGCATTCAGGCGGCCGTAAACAATGCCGCAAATTTCGAAAATTTCCAACGAGCCACCGACAAAACTTCCGCAATTTTGCGTGCGAATCAGAAAAGACCATTAAAATTGTAATTAAAATTGCGTATACGCAACGTGTTCGCATTGTAACAGCCGCATTGGCGGCGGCAGGAGGCTCCACTCAACAGTTTTACGCATAATTTGCAGCAGGCATTTAATACCGCTCACTTTCAGAAAACCCTGGCCCCCTTCACCTTCACCATATCGGCGGACAAGCGCTATCTGCTGCTGGCCCAGAATGTTGTGAAATTATTCCGGCACTCGTATTTGGCCCAGTACACGCTCTACGACATCCAGACCAGGTGAGTTCCGGCTCAATGCCGCGCCCGTCCGCATTTTAGCACTTTGCCCTTGATCGCATTTCGTAATCCCCGCCAGCGAGAGCATCAAGCTGCGGCACAGTCCGCACCAGGATGAATGGCCCTATCTGCACTACGCGCGATTTACGCCCGCTGGAAACGCGTTGGTCTGGGTGGAGGGCTACGACATCTACTACCGGCAGGAGGTCCGCAGCCCGGCCGTGCACCGGATTACCCAGGATGCGGTGCCCGGAGTGGTGTACAACGGCATTCCCGATTGGCTGTACGAAGGTGAGGCGAATTTCGCGAATTTATATCATAAATTCCCCGAAAAAAAAAATTAAAATAAAATCCTTTTCGAACAATATTATTTTCGACTTTGTGATAATAATATGCTTGCTTTTGTAACTTTTCCATAATTGTTTCCCTCTTAAAAATATAAAAATGACATCAAACCCATTTATTAAGATACTGCTTCTCAGAACATCCATTTGCATTGCTTGCAGGATATTTTACTCAGCTGGCACTTATTTCAATTTTCCGTTCTGTTTCGCATTTCGCAGAGGAGATTCTTCATGCAAATAATGCGATTTGGATGTCCGACAATGGCCAACTGATGCTGTACGCCACCTTCAACGATACGCACGTCCAGGAGCAGCACTTTGCGTGGTACGGGACGACGGGACCGTCTGGAGGACCAGCGGCGGCTGCAGCGGGAGTTGGCGGAGGCGGAGGAGCAGCGGGCGCCTCGTCCAGCGGCAGTAATCCGCATGCCAACCTGTACCCGGAAATCAGGTCCTTACGGTAAGTCGTGACCCCATTAGGGCCGGAGCTCTGGCTATATCACTTTTCGATTATGTGTTAATGATGCCTCATCTACGTCGTGCCCTTCGCCACGTCTAATGGCCTCCCAGCGTCACGCTTAAAATTCATGAAGTGACAGGGGGGCAACCTTTTCTCAGGTGGATTCAACCTTTTCCTAGGGCCATCCCTTTCTGACTGTTGGGGCATTAGAATTAGTTTCTGAGCATAAGACAATACAATACTTCGGGGTGCCTAAGCCAGTTGTGACGTATTAAGGTTGATCCCCTGTCAATTGGGTTTGATAAATTGCTAGAACGGACCTCGAAAAGGTCAACGTCCGATGTCAGCTCAAAGAGAGGGCGTTTGGGGATTTGAATTGTCTTCTGGAAATAAAATAATTAGGGCTATAACTCTATTGTTTTCTCCTTCCTTACAGCTACCCAAAACCGGGCACCCAGAATCCCACAGTAACCCTACGAGTAGCTGACCTGAAGGATCCGCAGCAAGTGCGCATCACCGACCTAAAACCTCCACAAATTCTGGCTCATGAGTAAGTCTATTGTTCGAAATGATATGTTTATACACGTTAGGCGATGTCTGGCGCTCACATCTTTAAAGATTTCGGAATAAAATAAATGCAATTTCGTTGCCTTTAGTAATATCTAAAGAAATGTAGAAGAAATTTTTTAAATCAGACAATTCATTAAAAAGTTAGGAGCAAATTTTGGAATTCAAGGAGTGCAAGCAGTTGCTTTGCTGCATGCATATCTCCATCTCTCTCGCACTTCTTTAGCTGAGTAAATTTATTTTATTTCAAATTTTAAATTTAATCCAAGTGGTCTACCTAATATCATTAAAATATTTAGTTCAAGGAATTTGTAAGCTAATCAATGTATTTAACAAATTTGTATCATAACCGTTGCCCCACAGGGATCACTACTTCAGCAGCGCCAGTTGGGTGAGTCACTCGAAGATCGCTGTGGTGTGGCTCAATCGACCGCAGAACATCTCGGTGGTCAGTGTGTGCAAGGCTCCGTCGTTCGAGTGCATTGAGGTGAGTCCATTTGGGTCGGGCCACTGCCGAACCACCAATCTCCTAATGAACCCCATCCGCTCTTGGCCCTCCACCATTGCAGACCCACCGGGTGAGCGGAGATGGACGTGGCTGGGTGGACACTGTCTCAGTGCCGCTGTTTGCCTCCAATGCCAGCCTCTATGTGGCCATCTCCCCGCTAAGAGACGGCCTGTTTGGTAAGTCACTGAGTTGTCAAATTGCCCTTTGTTTCTCCGAGTGACAAAGCCTGCTTTCTGCTTTCCCTCTTTCCCCTTTCCCTTCTCTCCGGCAACCAATACCTCTTAATCACAGGCTATTTCCGGCACATCGTGCACGTGGACATCGACAAGAACCGGGTGCTGCCCCTCACCCATGGGCCGTACGAGGTGAATCGATTGCTGCACTGGGATCAGCTGGATAATTGGATGTAAGTGATTGCGCACACACGAAACCGGACCAACTTCCGTTCGTTCAGTGGAAAATGATGTGTATAATACGTATACGTATTGTCATGTATAGGTTAACACTGAGAGCATATTCACAATTTATACATTCAATTGACCTGTAGAACACATTCACTATTCAGATTAAAATGCGACAAGAAAAAAGGATATTATTTAAATAGGTGAATATTATGGAGAAAATTTCCAAGGATGGTTTTAGTTTAACATGAATTAAATACATAGCTTTAAAATTGAGACAGTAGTTCTAAAAGAAACGGACAGAAGGACAGAAGGACAGACGGACAACGGATATGGCTAGATGGACTCGGCTATTGGTGCTGATCAAATATATATATACTTTAAGGAGTCGGAAACGTTCCAAACTTCTGACTGAAATTATACTACCATCTGCAATTGATAATAAGGAAATAAATGAAAGTAATCCTAATAGAATAATCTTATAACGCTCACTTATTTCTGCAGCTACTTCCTGGGAACTCCGGAGCGCCTGCCCTCGCAGCAGCATCTGTATCGCGTATCCGCCCTGCCTGCCCGCCAAGGCCAGGCTCTGCACCCTCCGGACTGCCTGACGTGTCCGGCGGTGACGCAGTGGGCCGAGGGCTACGACGAGGGCCACACCAAGTCGCCGCCCAAGCTGGTGACCGCCTGGGATGACGACTGGGAGGATTCGGAGGAGGCGGAGGCGCCTCCACCCCAGCCAGCACTGCCGGTGGAGCAGCAGCCTCCGGGGAGGGGACAGAGTGCCCCGCTGCCACCGCCACCCAGCGATTGCCTGTACCACGACGCCCAGTTCCCACCATCCCGCCAGGCGAAATATGTGCTCGTTGATTGCCTGGGCCCAGTGGTACCCACCGCTATCATCTACGGCCTGAAGTCCACCGCTCCGGAAGGCGCCAAGGTGAAACGGCAGAGCACCCAACAGGAGGAACCACCCACGGAAGGGGGGACAGAACAGAAAGCGGCCAAGGAGGAGCCCAAGTCGCAGTTCCTGGAACTCCTGGTCACCGTGCAGAACAACACGCGGTTGAAGGAAAAGATGGCCAAGACGGCCATGCCGCAGATCAAGACCTTTCCCGTGATGATCTCCGGCGGATACCATGCCCAGGTCCGGCTATACCTGCCGCCCGTTCTGCGCGAGGACGAGATCACGAGATATCCCACCATACTACACGTTTACTCGGGACCGGGCAGCCAGCTGGTCACCGATCGCTGGCACGTCGACTGGAACACCTATCTGGCCGGCAGCAAGGACTACATTGTCGTGGAGATCGACGGACGGGGATCGTCGGGACAGGGCTACCAGCTGCTCCACGAGGTATACAAGCGCCTTGGCAGCGTCGAGGTCTCCGACCAGCTGGAGGTGAGCGAGTACCTCAGGGACAACCTGCACTTCATCGATTCGCGCAGGATGGGAGTCTGGGGCTGGAGCTACGGAGGATATACAGCCGCATTGGCGCTGGCCGGGCAGCAGTCGATATTCCAGTGCGGGATCAGTGTCTCGCCAGTCACAAATTGGAAGTTATATGGTGAGTTTGAATAGTTAAAGGTAATGGAAGGGGGTCCGGAAATCTCGATCATTGGGAAATCACCTGTTAGAGAGCCAAAAAGTATGCAACAATATATTTTTAAATTTTAATTTTTTACTGCATACTTTTTGACGCCTTTTTAAGTGTTATCAAATTTCCTACTAATTCTTTAGAACACGAAATTAATTTTAATTTTTGTATCTTTCCATTTTATTTCTTTCAACATTTCTTTAATTAATAACTACAAAATTATAATTGATCATTTTAGACTCTACGTATGCCGAACGCTATCTGAGTTTCCCCAACGTGACGGACAACTACAAGGGCTACGAGGAGAGTGATCTTTCCAAGTACGTGGACAATCTGAGGGATCGCCAGTTCCTGCTGGTCCATGGAACTGCGGACGACAATGTGCATGTGCAGCAATCGATGGTCTTGGCCAGATCGCTGACCAGCAAAGGGGTGCTCTATAAGCAGCAGATATATCCCGATGAGGGTCACAGCCTTTCGGGGGTCAAGCGGCACTTGTACCGATCGATGACCGCCTTCTTCGAGGATTGTTTCAAGAAACTGGTGGGTGAAAAGTCTAAGCTCTAACAGTTACTTTGTATTATATTCCACTCTCCTACCACAATTATATATATATAACTCTCTCTATTTCTCCTGCTCTCCAATTAAATACATAACCCACCAAATCACCGCCAAAATAATACCACAACTGCCATTTCCGTTTTTTTTTACATTTTCGGTTGGTTTTTCGCCCAATTCCCACACCTTCGTGTAGATCGATCAGCAACAACAAAATCAAACAGATTCCATGGATTTCCTGGACTTTCATAGTTTTTATGGCCGCTAAGTTTGATTCCATATCCCACATCCTTCAGATAATAGGTACAGTCGCCGTTGTCAGTTTTTCTTTATAAATACCATTCGTCGTCGGTTTCTCACTGTTTTCAAGTTGTTAATTGTCGTTGTCATTGTCGATGTTGTCATTAGTTGCAGGTTCTCTCACTCTTTTTACCAATTCTTCGCTGTTTACATGTCTTATTGACCATTTTTAATGGGGACCGAATTTATTTACTTGCTTTTATGTGTTTTAAGAGTTAAGCTAGATATTGATGTTTGATGTTAAAAATACACGTAAGCCTCTTATCCTCTCTCCTTTTCTTTTTATTAATATTATCCTATAAAGAAAGAGAGTTTATTGTTTATGAAAGTTTAATTAATTTAAGAACTTGAAGAGTTTAATATATAAATTATTTCTTCTAAATGTTAAAAACCAATAACAGGCTATAAAAAACATGCTAAATTTCTACAATTTTTCCATTTTGTTTGGAGCATTAAGTTCAATTTCACCAATTCCTTTTTGCATCCCATCTGCATAAGCTTGGTGTTATGATTTTCTCTGCTCCCCCCAAAAACTTTCCTAGTTTGTTTCGTTCTTAATTTAATATTAAACGCGTTGAGTCTGAATTACACTTGTTACACTTTAGGCTTAATGTGGCTTACCAGCCGAACTTCATTTTCGGTCCCTGTCCCAGTCATAATCGTATGTGTTTGCTGTTTGTTGCCCTTTTTCTTGGGCCCGTTGAGCTGGGCGAATATTGTGGCTTCGGTTGAATTTAGTTGTGTTTTTATTTAGTTTTCGGTTGGTCTTCCCTTTGGATTATTTTTGGCTCTTGTCTGCTTCCGGTTTTGGTTTTCTTCTATGAGTTCTTTCATCTTCCTGTGTTTTTCGGGAGCTTTTCCCATTATTATTCTGAAAGTTTCGCCTTGAATATTTTTTTGCTTTTGCCCCGAATTTACGTTGATCCTTTGTTTGATTCAAACAAATTGTTTTTGCTGTCCTACATTTGTATGGCGTATGTTTGTGACCGCGTGTGCGTTGCTGGGACTTTTTGTTGTTGCTCGATGTGTTTTCCTTTAACGCAGGCTAGATACACAAACACATAAGACACTTAGACACACTTAACCATAATAATTTACCTAAATGTTTGCTTATGCCTTGATTGTGCTTAACTCTACTTCATGTGATCCTGCTGTCCGGCTAACATATTCCTTTTCCAATTTTTCCACTAACGCTGTCTGCCAATTAATGTAGAAAATCACTGATTTCGATTTGCTGGACTAATGGTTGAACTTTTACCTTCCGACAACAGGTGCCGCCGGAATCGAAAGCAGGTCTGGGAAATGGCGGCGATATGCAACAGCAATAAACATGACTTATGGAACCTGCAGCGGAAAATGTATAAAAATATAAACAGCGTAATTCTGATAACAAAAGTATGGAAAACAACAAACTTCAGCCGGAACGTGCGAACGAAATGTTTTTTGTGAATTGCATTAAATGTGATTTATCATGAACACCAACCCACCCACACACACACACACTCTCGCAGAGAGAACTGTTAAATGGCAACGCAAATAGCCAAACAACAACAACAACACCAACAGCAAGGACAACTAAGTTAAATGGCATTTTGTGTAAAATTAATAAGCAAAGCAGCAGAAACAGCAGCGAAAGCGAAATGCCAAGTAAGTGTGCAAAAAAGAAGCATAAACAAACAAATGTATGTATGTGCGCGGACAAAGCGAACAAAATCAACATGGTTGTGAAAACATAACTCACACACAAACAGAAGCAGAATCACAAACACAGGCACACAGAGAAAGCACGCACAAAGGTAGGCAATAAAAAGTTACACATGCGGCTTTTCTTCGGTGACAGGTGTGACATTTCAATGCCCTCGCAGAAGGTGTTTTGATTTCAGCAGGCCATTTGCCACCTTCCTCCAATAAGTCGGTATTTTTTAATTTCCTTATTATTTAAATCTATTTTTTTTTGTTAAAAGTAAGAAAAATTATTGAATTCAAGAGTAACAATCATGAAAACATAAATATATCTGAAAGGATTACTGAAATTAATTTAGGTGGGGTATTTAGACCGTCGGCTTGTCAAGGCTTACTTCTTTTGTATTCCCCTGTAATTTATGCATTTTTTGCATAAATTTCCAATGAACGGCAAACAGAAATAAAATTGAAAAACCAATTTATTGAAAATGCTACACGTGGACCAGCTGAGCTTCATGCTGCTCTGCCTGAACGGAAATGACCAGCATAAATCAAATCTGACAACATTCTAAATGACATTTTCTGATAGTCGAACGGTTTTATCATTTGCCAAGGGAAAGTTTTACCAAAACGGGTAATGGCTCACAGAGGGCGGAAAGTGGCCCATAAATTGGGACTGAATTTATGGACTTAGCTCATAATTGAGTCTGGATTTTCAAACTGTTGACAGAAGGAATGATTGAAGTGAGAATTTGTGAGATTAAATACGAATTCAATTTGAATAAAATGCAGTCTTCGTTCAAATAGATTAAATTTCGTTTTTAATTTGATTTGCGTTACTCGTAAATTTGATCGTAAAATTTACTGCCCCAAAAAAAAACAAAAAGAATAAAAGTGAATAATGTCCGAGAGATGGTCCAGCCTCAGTTGGCGAGAAAATAATTCGTTTGCAGTGAAGTTTAATTAAATCAAACGAAATAAAAATTCAGCAATAAATAAAGCATAAATATTTTAAATGAAAGGAAGGAGACGAGCAAGCGAGTTCTCCACGCAAACAAATGCATAAAAAGTACTTTCCAATAAATGCAGATATAATTGAATTGTCAGAAGGCAAATCGAAAAATTACAAAATGGCCAAAGTAAAGTTATTACCAAAAAAAATGGTGGATTCAATGTGAAGCTGAACAAAAGTTATAAATCAAACAAACCAATTAAATAGTATAGATGCATGTAAGTAGCGCAATAATATTTATTAGATAAATTTACGACTTTTTGTTCAATTTAATTGCCACTACTTTTCAAAGCAGAAAAAACAGAGAATAGTGACGGTAAAGTAGCGTTAGTCAGAATCCACACTTAAACCAAGCAAAAGTAGTTAATTAAGTGAAGGTGAATAAAAATGATAAACCAAAATGAGAAAAAGGTCAAAAATAGCTGCGATACACATTAAACATAAAGTGAGGTAAAAGCAATGCTCAAAATGTATGAAACAAAGAAAATGAGCAGAAAAGCAAATGACACCGCATCGCACATTCCGCAAGAATCTCAATTACCCCGTTCCCTCCGTTTATTTCACTACCAGAGCAGTATGCAAAAAAGGATTATCTTTAATTAGACATTTGGCACACTTTTTCGAGAGCGGCAGTTAATTAGCAACCGCCGCCAAATTCAGACTTGCGGCTCTTAACTCTGATGGTTGAGCAGAACGTTTCCCCATAGAATGTGGATTGCGAGGTGTATCTGCAATAAGTGTGGGTATGCAATGGTATACCATATACATAAATTTATATAAAATACAATCACGAAATACACATTCTACACAAAAAACACGCCGAAATCAAATCGATATGGGCATGGTAAATTTCTGGTATTTATAAGCATATCGTTTTTACCAAGCAATACCGAGTTCTCCATCTCGGAGTTTCTCAGACTTTGAAAAAGGGATAGCGCTTAAAGTTATTTGAGTGGGAGGGAGAAATACACATTCTATTTCGAACTGGCCTCCTTTTATGATCTTTACTTTTCGAGCATATCAAGTCAAAATTGATACCACATAAGATCAAAACGAGCATCGTTTGATATCAATGATACAACTTTGCTAAATTACTACAAACTCCTCAGAACCGATTTAATATGACATCTAATTGGCACGCAAGCATATTACATACTATGTTTTTCCAAAAAATCTGTTCAAGTTTCCAGAACACATCGCTACTTTATTTCCAGCTAAATTTCTATAAATATAAATGTGTGTATCCGTTTACGTTCTCTGCAGTCCGTAGCAATAGCAATCCCAGCGGTATAGAGTTTCCCCAACTTTCAGGGCAATTTTAATAATAAAGCCGCGTCGGCCGCAAAGTATGCTACACAAAATATAAACTCGTCCTTACAGCGCACTATGGGGAATTTGACCACTTTTTTTGGCCAATATTAATAACTCCATCAATTTTAAAGATATCAAAGTAAAACTTTAGCAATCGTTATTATTTATCACAACGCATATTCTGCATGAATATCTTTCGGATCAGACAACTATATCATATAGCTGCCATAGGAATGATCAGATCAACTTTGCTATTTTTAGAGATAAATGCATAAAACTTGATAAGTACTGTTTTAATACAGTATTAAAACCACACAGAAAATTGTGTTAAAATCGGAAGAATATTTCTTTTAGTTTCATAGAACCGAAAATTCTCAGAGTTTACATGCCATTTCTTTCATTTTTTGATACAGTTATAGCTTTATTTTTCTTTTTACAACCTCCTAAGTCCGCTTTTATTGTCAAATGGTGGCGATAAGGGTTTTTGCCTTACTTTAGAAGACATTTCAAATGTATGTCTATTGATATCTTCCTTCCACAGTGCAAACAAAGGGGCAATTGCAAAATTTGAGGTTATGATCTAAAAAACTAAATTTCTCCAAGAATCGAAAAAAGTGAATTTTCTGACTACATTAATTTTAAAGAGAATTCCTTACTCTTTAATTCCCTAAGGTTTGATGGATGGACTCCGCTGGACTCGCTTTGTATCTCTATTTAAAAATTGGTTTTCTTTAAAAATATTCATGTTAGACCGGTCACAAAAATAATCGATTACAAGAAAACCACGATTAATTTAGATTGTTTAATCACACAAATACTTAGTGCACACTACCCTCCCTTGAATTAATTCAAAAAACTCCACTTAAATTGCTTTAAGACTCTTATTTTTAGCAATTAAATAGTCTCAGCATTGCGTCAAATTTCTGAGGCGTGAAAATGCAACATACAGCAGCTGATCTAACAGCTGTAAGTTAGCAGAGGCGGCCTCTATCGAAATTCCTGAAACGTAACATTGAAGATTGGTCTTCCGTTAAAGTATTCTAGAAAACACAATTTTAGTTTAACGACTTTAAAAAAATGGGTTTTGGCCAAAAAAAGTGGTCAAATTCCCCATAGTGCAGCGTTACCGTAACCCCTTTCCATTTTCATTTGAACCCCCCCCTCCGCCCCTGCCACGCCCCTCAGGTAGGCAGTGATGTGTGCTGGTGTTGGAAAATTGCAAGCCAACATAAATTTATGTCTGCCTGACACTTTTATGTGCCTCGCTGGCGGTTTCAGCTTTTTACGTCGCGTTTTTAGACGCTGGCAGAACAGAACGCATGCCAATGTTTGGCTAAGCCGCAGGTTTTCCTGTCCACAATTAACTCACACAGGTGCCGCTCGCTGTACACCTGGCCAGTGGGCGTGTTCAAAGGGGGTGGGGGGTGGATGGTGTGTCTGTGTGAAGGCGCCTATTTTTAGCCTGAAAGGTCGTCTGTAAGAGGGGCTGTAAAAGGCCAGCTGCTGCTGCTGGGAGGATCCTCCACCTAACCCTAGTTCTGCCCATCTGTCCCTCGTCCTGTTGACACACAGACACACGCGCACATGAAATAAAGGATAAAGGTGTTTGCTTTAAAAGGGCCTCTCCCCATCTCCATTTCCATCCCCATGACTGCCCCCAAACACTGCGAGATGAAGCCATAAGTGCGTTGCTGTGTCATAGCTATAGAAATGGAAAACGGCTCGAAAAATATAAACAAAAGGAATACCGAAAAACAAAAACATTTAAATGCTTTCTATGTAGTGTACTAAGGACCAATTACCAATGAGGCGTGCGGGAATAATTAAATAAATATATATATATACATACGGAAAATATGAAAATGTAGCAACGCGCAGTAGAGGATTACAAAATTTGCAATATATACATAAACACACATACGACATAACGACTATTGACTCAAATACCATTTAGTAATTATACAAGCATATATATAAACCCAATGATATATACAAGAAATCAAATAAATATGTATACACAAGCGGATATGGTAGTTTAGTTCGTTTAGAGGATCAAGCGTTTGCATTATTCGAGTTACGACCTATGAAAACCCCAAAAAAGAAACCACTCTGTATTGTTAAAGTACTATTAGCTCAAGTAAAAGCTCGACTCCTGGGTCAGCGGCTCTGTAAAAAGGGAAACTGTAATATACGCCTATACATAACTAAATAACTATACTTTGATATATGATAAATATATTTTATAAACAACTTTTACTCTTACACAATAAACAATTTTAATACTCTATCTTCAGCCTTACCGTAAACTAAATGAAAGAATCTAAGAAAGAATACTGTAACTCCTTAGGAAGAGCTCAGCAGGCCAATGTGCAAAGACGAAAATCGATCCTAACCTAAGCCTAAAACCAACGAAATCGAATACAAGTTGTTAGTTCTGTTGTTTGATGTAAATAAGCTTTAACGTGGTTAGCTCAACTCAAATACTTTGTTTACTCCTTTCGTTAAAGATCGTTTGAGGAACACCTGAACCGATAGCGAAAACAAAACCTTTGTGATCCAAAAAGTTTCTTCTCTTCCATGAAGCAAAAACCAAACTAACCAATATAATATTATGAATTTAAAATTAATATGTAATTACATTGACTTAATTAGCTGAGACGTTCAATAATTTCGCCTGGCATTTAGTAAAGGAAATCGTGAAAAACGAGAATAACTAAAATAAATGAAAGCATGAAGCCAAAAAAAAAAGAAACTGAAATAACCTTGTCTTTTTATTGTCTAACATTTTTCTGAAATTAAATCAGAAAATATTAAAGTTTCAATTTAATTTGGAAACAAATCATTAATGAAAACAAAAAGTGTGGTAAGTTCATTTATCTCTTCTACTTGAATTGAATAATAATCCCCATATCGATGCATTTCTTGGTCTATTGGCAAACTCAATCAAATCCACACCTCTGGGGTCCGAATTAAAAATGAAATATTGCTCCCAAGGAAACCCCAAAGAGATTCTCCGTAAATCGAAAATGTAAGCCGTGGAAAAGTCCGGCTCGGCAATCTGCATAAAACACGTAACGAGTTGCAGGTCTGGCCCCCTTTGGATTTTTCTCCCACGCCCCTTTGTTGGCCACGGACCGCGGACAAAAAGGCGGCACGCAAATGGCCACAAAATGTCCGACTGGCATGCAATGGCCATCAGTTTTGTGGGGCCAATGGACATGGGCCAAGGGGAGCAGGAGAAATGGGGTTCTGGGAGGGAAGGCCTTCTGCTTCCACCAGGCAAACTTTCGACTTAATTGGCCAATTGTTTGCCAAGGCGCTGAGCAAGAAAAAGTGTTGCATATTTGATGCCGCTTTACACATTTCTTTTCCTTTCACTTCCCCCTTTTTTCCCGCCCAACGATCCGAAGCGAAAGAGGTGGCAAGTTTTAAAAGCCCTCGTTTTGGCAGCTAATAATTTATCGAAGCGATTTCAGCGACCGTCTAATTGCCACTCAAGCGGGGGTGTTGGCCAACGGTTATCGGGAACAAATATGAAAATATGGCGTATAATGCACGGATGGCATGGAATCACGCTCATAATTGAGCCGCAACGATGAAAATGTCCGGCACAAATTGCCGACCACTTAAATCGGGAAACCCGAAACGTTCAAGGATGGGTATCGGGTACTAGAGCCGGAGGGGGAAATGACCACCCACACACTCACGTGTGTCACTATGGTCATTATCTAGTTTAAGCAGTTGGCAAAAGGAGGAAGTATCGTTAGACATTGTCATTATATAACATTACTGCATTTTCTTGCACGGAATAGATTTAAAATTTAGAGATTTTTGTGGAACTGAAGTGAAAAGAGTATTTAAAATTTCTGGGTGAGTAAGTGAAAACAATGCTGATGATCCTTGGTTTGCAAAAATAACGAATGCCAACACAACATCAACAGGAGAACCTCTCTTTGTATCGTAGTATGCCCTGAAATTCTGAATTCATTCATTTCAATTCTATTTGAAATGAATTTAATGACTTTCAAACTTACTTCGAAGTGAATGAATGAATGAATGATTTTAATGAAGTTTAAGAGTTTTTCAGAATTCAGAAGAAAGAGTCGAAAAATTATGAAAAAACAATGTTAACTGCATGGTCGTTTCTCGTCAAATGGGAATGCCGTTTGAATTACTTCGGAATTCATTCACATTCAATTCTGCTAAACTCAAAATTCAAATAAAACATAAAATTTTAAAATAATTCATTGTGCCTAAGGTAAACTGATTTTAGCTATAAACTTTACAATTAGCTTTTAAACAATAACTTAACTTAACAATAACATTGAAAGTTAAAGATATACATATATGGTTTTTTCTTTCTGACCTTTAACCTTTAACTTATAAGGAACACAATACCATTCGTATGTAATCAAAAAAGGTGTCGGCTTACAGCAAACATGATGTGGGTTCAGTGACCTAATTTCGGTACCGATTCCAATTTATGGCATTTACGATAGCTGGAATGTAAATTTTAAGTGTTTGCTTTAATTTTTTGTGCCGATTCGTTATTCTAGGCACACCAGCTATTCCACGACCGCCTCTCGCCCATCCCGCCGCTAATGCCAATCAATTGCCGTCCCATGTCCTGACAAGGGTTCCTCCAACAGTTGGCTATTTTTGCGCTATTGTGAAACGGAGACGCAGACTTTGGACTCAGAGACGGAGATGCCAGCCGCCTGTCAGAGAAAAGCAGAACTCAATACTGGTGCAGGATAATGCCCCATATACGGCCGTACGATACATAAATAATTTACATTTCGCATGGTCACGCACAAATCATGTGAGCCCCTCGTCCCAAGCAAATGGGAACAGTCAGACGGAGAAATTGGAATTTGGTTTGGGGCTTTTCGATTTTAGTGGGGCAGGAGCCGGGGGCGGCGGGGATGCCGCATGATGCGTATAAAAGTGACAGTTCAACATGGAAACCCACTCAAAATGTTAATTGATACGTATGCAAGGCGATTGCGGGCCGCGGGGCACACAGAAAGTTTTCAGTTTGCTTTCGGGCGAAAGCAGAAACTTTCAGCGGTATGATTTTCCAGGGGAGATTAATGCTCATCTGCCGATAAAAATCAATGTTAAAGTGAAACAAATTAATAAGAATTTAAATGGTTTTTAGTGAGTAAAATTACACTAGTAAAATTACGCATACAAGTTTGTTTCCGTCGAACTTCCGTTTAGCTCCAACCTCAGTTTGGTTCAAACTTTCCATATTCACGTTATTTGGGGTCCTGGTTACGAGAAAAATAGTTAAAGACACAACGGGATCGTGAAAAAAAACCGGCCCATCCGTTGGAAACAGTTGGGATTTCTGACAAATCAAATCCACATTCAGCATCCGTTAACTGCTGATTTGAAGAGCAGTTGCTCATCTTAACACAAACAATGGGGGATTTGAACTCGAAAAATCAGTCGTATAATTATTTTTCCTACACAGAAAGGATTTTTTAAAACATAGCAGCGCTTTATAATTTTATCATACCAACATTATTTTTAATATGCTTTTTGGATTAAAACTTTTTATTTCAGCCTCTTTTTGCACCTTAATCTTGTCATTTTATGGTATAATTTCTCTGTGTAATCTTATTGAAGAATAAGATGATTGTTAAAGATATTTCTGAGATTTAATTTTTTCGCGCCATTTGTTCAATTACGTATTTATTTAACGAACATAATTTGTGAGCTAGGTGGTATATTCTGATACCCGACACTCGGTCACATTGTTCATAGTAAAAGTATCGATATATCGATAATATTTGTGTGCAGCAGCTGCTCTCCTCTCAATTCGATTGCCACCACTAGTACCAGCTGTGCCGAAGAATATATTTTATTTACTTTTAATCGGGAATTAAACTATTCAGCATGGAGAGACTGAACGACGACTGCGTGTGCAATATACTGGAGTTCCTGCCACTGGTGGAGCAGATAAAGATGGCACGGCTGGCGCCGCGCTTCCAGGAGCTGCTCTGCCTGATTGTGTGGCGTAAGCCGCGCTACCGCAAGGTTTCCGTATCCGATTCCATGCTGGAGCCGCTTAGCAAGGAGGACTACGTCTACTTCTTCGAGCTGACCAGCCCCGCAATGGAGGAGCTGTACATATGGAACGTGCACAAGAAGGCCTTCGATTCGTACTTGGGTCGCCACCTGATGAGGCCCGAATTGGCCTTCTACATGCGCAGGGACTACAGCAATCTGCGCGAGCTCTGCATCGCGGATGAGAGCATGAACAACAGCATGATCAACACGATAGCCAAGAGCTGTCGCCAGCTGCGCAGCCTGAGCGTTTCCAGTGCCTACGTTACGGGGAAGCATATCGCCGGTCTGTCCAATCTGGAGACCCTGGTGGCGCCCGAATGTTCCTTGGAAATGTGCTACCTCGCCGAGCTGCTGGAACAGCTCCCCTTGAAGCACTTGGACCTCACCTCCAACCGACATCCAGTGGAGGCAACCATCCTGCAGACGGAGGGCAGCAAACGACTAGAGCGCCTTGGCCTTTCCGATGCCCAGGACTACGGCTTCCCACTCGCCGATATCCTGCCCAACTTGACAACGCTGGTCGTCAGCTACCACAAGGTTAGCCCCAAGGATCAGCTAGACATGCTGGAGAGCACGCGCCAGCGCGTAGAACGATCCGGGCAGAAGTTTCCCAAGCGCCTGCAGTCGATCTTGTGCAATGTGGTGGACGTGGAGGTGGCCCTCGAGCAGATCGCCGGCCTTGAGAAGCGCCATCCCAGGGACACCCCAAAGTTCAATGAGCTGCTAAAGATAATGTACTTCTTGTCGAATCCGCAGGACGGAGATAAGAAGTCACCGTGAGATTCATTTTCAGACCTGCCCCCATGTTTGCCCATGTAAATACATAAATAGGTACTAGACGTCACCCAAGTGACAAGTGGAACTGATATGTTTATCTGCTACCAGCTGCTCCCTAGGGTAATTATGTGTCTCTGCTGATAAGGTTTGTTTGTTCGGGTCTTTTATGTTTACCGATTAGATTCGGCGCGATGTTATGATCAGTTTCGGAAAATTAACAAAAATAATGTACAATACTCTTGCATAGGGTAGTATGATTTTGCACAGATGCAATATCAAGTATTTTTGAGATCAATATCCCTCTCTGTTGAAGAAAAAATCTTCTAATATTATCGCAATATCATGCCCAATGTTAAATTTCTTCTAAAAAACTTGTTCATTTATTGCAGTCACAAGAATATTTAAAACATTTTTAGATGCTTTCTTATCGTAGTGTTAATGAATCAGCTCCACAAATGATTTAGTTTAATATTTTTATACATTACGGCAGCATTCTGCAGAATTCAGCAAGACTTTTTAATTTTAAATGGTAAATATGTATATGTTTATTTATCAAAATAGGAAGCTTCTACATTTTTGAATGGTTGCAAAGAAGTTAAAAATGTTAAACCAATTTAATTTCCTTTAAATGTTAAGAAAAAATATGATCAATTCATCACAAGGGTATTCGAGGTTTCGGTTTGCCTGAATCTAGTCCCATACTTTTATTTTCCGCTGTGTTCGGTGTGCACTCTGCACTGATTAAATGTTTATTATGTTTTGCGTGTGTATATTTGTGCCAGTGCGGAATAAACTTTGTTATTTCATTCAAACGGATGAAGCTGTGATAAAAACGAACCAAATATTCCATTGACTTGTTAGACCCCCGGCTAATTGATACATATATGTACGTCAATTAGGACCCAATTGTGAGACCTCTACAAGCTCCCTTTTCTCGTTTGTCGGCACAATTTTCCCATGGATAGGAGGTATTTTGTTGATTAAATTTGTACCATTATATTTGTATTCAGTTCATGTACGTGTAATAAAATGGGGTTTGAAAAACTTTATTAAATGAAACGTGTAAAAATGATTGGTTAAAACGAAACCAACTGGCCAGGTTCCAAAACTAAATTCAATGTGGGTCAGATAACTTGTTAAAATGAACGATGAAACAAGAAAGCAAGCTAGCTTCGGCAAGCCGAAGCTTATATACCCTTACAGATCATTCCTATTAATTAACAAATCGCAAAAATGTTAAATTTTCTAATATTTCTCATTAATTTTCCGATCGTTCCTACGGCAGCTATATGATATAGTCGTCCGATTTTAATCAAATTAAAATTGAAATTCGGAAATATTTAAAAAGAGTCATATCCTAGAGTAGAAGATAATACAATAAAAACCAAAGAAGCTAGAATTTTACGTCTTAACGGAAACGTCTCCTTCACTGCGTTGCAAACTTCTGCAAGGGTATAATAAGTATTAGTAAGTGTCACACGAACAAAAAAACTAAGTGACGATATATGGACCCAGATACGAGAACAGCACCCCGGAAAAAATGCCCGTGATCAGCATGGCGGCTGCGTACATTCCGGCCGTTGTCTGGTACTTGGCGTGCACCGTCTGCGGGGCGTACATCATGCCCAGCGAGCTGAGGTACCCGGAACTGAAGGCCATTGCGATGCCCAGGCCCCAGTAGACCCAGTCGCTCTCGATGAACACGCTCAACGTGCGCACCTCGTCCGGCGGAGCGTAGTTGCACATGATGAACAGGGGAATGAACACCACGCGCATCACCACCGGCAGCCACAGGAACCTCGGACCCGGCCACTGCACCCAGGAAGTGGTGAGGCTGCCCAGCATGGCGAACACGTTGAAGGTGGCGAAGCAGGTGACCAGCGTGAAGTAACTCGGTCCGATTACGAAGTCCTCCGAGCGGTGCACGTTCGACTGAATCGCCGGGAACACCGACAGCGTCACGAAGAACGTGAGGAAGATGTTCAGCAGCTGCGGCGAGGCCTTCTTGAAGATCTGCCAGTAGGGCACGTTCAGCTGCTGCTTGGAGTCCGTCTTCTTTTCGCTGCTCCGGCTGATGGTCTCGTAGTGGCGGAAGAACTTGTTCAGCGGCAGGGCGAAGTAGGTGTCGAAGCAGAGCAGCAGCACCAGGATGGCCGTGACGAAGTAGTAGATGGCCGACGTTCGCGGGGACGAGAAGATCTCTCCGCAGATCAGGGCCATGGCGGTGGTGAAGCAGCCGCTGATGTTCGAGCCCAGGACGACGGCGCCGGTGTACTTGATGGGCAGCGAGGCCACAATGCCGTAGATGGTGTTCTGGTAGATGCCGTTGCACACGTTCAGCAGCACTATGCACACCATGGTGGTCCAGAAGAAGACGCCCGGCCACTGGGAGGAGTCCAGCATGGCCAGCACAATGGTCACCAGCAGGATGACCATCTCGAAGATGATGCTGTACACGATGCGGCTGGTCAGGTCGCCGCCGAAGTTGACGAAGATGTTCAGCCAGTTGAAGACCAGGTTGGGGATCTGCGAGGCGAAGCCCATGTTCTGCATGAAGTGGGTGCGGTACTTGACGTCCGTGGCCACCGTGTTGTTGGGCCCCAGCTTGAAGTCCTCGAAATAGGACTTGGCCGTGATGAACATGTTCCACGGCATCAGCGTGCCCACGCCGTGCAGCAGGAAGATGAAGAACACGATGAGGTACTTGTCGCTGGGCGCCGGCAGGCCCAGTTTGCCCAGCACCGACGTGGATCCCTTGCCATTGGATCCCTCGTGGGCCGGCAGCTTGGACTCCCACGAAGGATTTAGCGTCACCGGCGCCTGCTGCCTGCCAATAAAAGGCGACTTCTCCGATTTACCCTCCGCCATTTCTGCAGCGCTGCTACTGTTCTTAATTGGCTCGGATTTCTTTCTGGTTCTGGTTATGCGGGCGACAGCAGTTATTGGGGCGTATGCTTGAAAACCGAAAACTTGCGCGGTCAGTTATTCCGTTGGGGGGACGCCAAACCGGTAGGCGGGCGGGAAGGTTTGATTTTCAGCCCCAGTTATGGAACCTCTGCACTCCGGTTTCGGGATTAACTTCCTGGCGGGATTAACTTCCACGTGGAGCAGCCAACTGCAGTGCCCGGACAACTGACTGCGCGGACTGTGATTACAGAACAGATCGCATCGAATCAAAGGTTATAGTTATACACATAAGGCACGCGTTCTTGTACTCGTTATCGCACTTCGAGATTATCGCCGAGTCGTATCAGCTGTACTCGATCGGACGGCGTTGCCACATCGCTGGAAATTGTTATTTATGGCTGCAGCGGAGCGCGATTTCAGGGGGTGCTGACACCCATGGGCGCAGTCTCTTCATTTCGTAATCGCCAATGGGGACGGCCGTTAAATAAACTTTACTTAGTTGGCTGTCACTTTACAATTGGTTTTCAATATTTTTAATTTAATTTTTTTTCACATGTTTATACAAATCCTAAAAATAAATGTGTTATTTCGCTTTGAATATTAAATAGGCTTGAAAATATTACAACCCCCTCTGTAACATTCTAACTACGAGCATGTTTGCTTAAAGCAGTCATAGCAACTAAATAAAAAGTGAAAGAGCAATAACTTATCGCAATGTAAAGTAATTTATTTATTGTGGTTCCTTTTTATTATTATTTTTAGCTTGCAATAATCTGTTTGAAATTTTATGAAAAAGGCTTTCATTATGGGCATTTATTTTAATAACGAATACAAAAAAACACTCTTACTCTACAAGTAACGGATAAATTAATATTTAATTTCATAACTTTTGGACTTTAAAATAATTAAGATTTACACTTTAATTGCAACAAATATTTTAAGGGGTTTTGGACCACAAAAAAATCTTTGTTCGAATGATATTTTAAATTTGTGTACATGATTTAGTTAATTTCATTTTCATGCATCCGGTGAACAAAATAACATACATATTTCAAAACATACATATTTGGAGTTCAATCCTTGAACGAAGGAATTTAAAACAAAGTTGCTAAGTTTGTGTCAGCAAATCATGGTTATAGAAAAGAAATACTAGTTTAAAGGACCTGAAATACATATTGATTTGAGAGTGTAATCTAGATAACCTTTTTATTTTAGTGTAACTCATATAATTTTACATTGATCAGCCAAATTAATGGCTATAAAACTTATAGTAGAAATAGGAACAAATAACTTGAAAACATAACAGGATGGCGGGTAACAAATCTTATTACTTATAATAGAATACTAAAACAACGATACAAAAACGCATTACTGCTTCAGGAAACATGACGTCCTCTTGTCCAGAGATCGCCGGGGTGCCTTCGCTTTAGCCGTATTTAAAAAACAAAGCATTATCTTACCCTATGTAACTTTTTCAAACTTTTGCTCTACAGGTTGCAGACCTGCCAGATCAGTGAATTAATTCTCAAAACTAGATATTTCAAAAAATTATTCAAATAAAATCGCAGCATAATTTTCGATCTTATTTTTATAATAATTTTGATTTCGCAAATGTTACATTTTGCTGCACCTGCAACAGGTGGCAAGGTTACTAGACTTTGCACGCTTCTCAGCACTAATCAGTTCTTCCTCTTCTTACCTCGCCCCCTGTCATCGTCGGCTTTTCGTTTGTTTTAAGCAAAACACGTTGTTTATAGGAATTATAACATAGAATACCCATCATGGCCACCGAGGCGGCCACCCCCAGAATCCAACTGGGCGACTACATCGTAATCCAGCGCCAGAAGTACACGAAACTGCAGAAATTCGGCAGTCTGGACACCACAGCCACCTTGGGCAAGGAGACACTCGAGCTGAAGTCCCTTTTGGACCAGCCCTACGGGTCCACGTTCAAGATGTGCGTCAAGGAGACGAAGCCGGGCAAACGGGGAGCCCAGCGGCAGCACGCCCTGGAGCTGTGCAGCGAGACGGAGCTGCGGAGCACGCGGGAGGTGCTGGGAATCTCCAGCAGCGGGGCGGATAACCGGGACATCTGCGACGACGGCGAGGCACAGACCCTGAGGCCGGAGGACATCGCCCAGCTGCGCGAGGAGGGCAACGACTCCAGCAAGATCATCGAGAAGCTGGTGGAGAACTCAAAGACCTTCCACAACCGCACCGAATACTCGCAGGAGAAGTACCTGCGGAAGAAGGAGAAGAAGTACTTCGAGTTCGTCCAGATCCGCCAGCCGACGATCCGGCTGATGCTGGACATCTTCTACCGCCAGGACGCGGAGAAGGTCCTGGGCATTCGCGTGGACACCCTGTCGCAGATCATCTCCTACTCGGGCGTCTGCGGCTTCGGCAGCTACCTGCTCTACGAGAGTGGCACCAATGGCCTCCTCCCGGCGGCCATGCTCAACTCCATAGGAGCTGGCACCGAGGGCACCCTGGTGCACATGCATCCGGGCAACGTGCCCCAGAAGCAGGCTCTGCTCGCCCTGAAACTGCCCCTGGAGCAGCAACAGCGATGTGTGTCAGTTAATTTGTACTCTGTTTTGAGGGAGTTCTACCAAGGAGGGGAGACGAAGGCCACTGGTGTTCCGCTCGAGGAGCCCGCGGAAGTTGAGCCCCAGGAAGCACAGCCGGAAACGCCAACGGAGGAACAATCGGATGCCATCGAACCCATCACCAAGAAACCCAAGCTGGAGGAAGATAAAAGTGGTAGAGACGGTATGTATGATCATTACAATTAAGTTATTTCTTGATAAGGATGCTAATAATCCTATTTTCTAATTATAAATATTTAAACAATAATTAATTTGTTAATTAAAATACGATGAAAAAATACCATACGAAAGTAACTTCCAAATTAATATGTTTCATTAAGTATTAGAGCAGAAAAAAATAGCAAAAATGTTTCCGATAAGAAAGAAAATGCTTTTTAGAAATCTTGAATTTTGATAAATCTATTTTTGGAAAACATTAATTGAGGAGATCGAAATATATTGGGAAAAAACGCAAAAATAAAAGCACCAAGACCTCGAGCCAGCCAAAACCAATTGTTTGATTAATTGTTAAAGATTTTCACGAAAGAATTTTTAATAATCTTATAAACATTCTTACATGCATAAAAAGCACATAATCATACAGTCCTCCCTTTCTTTATAGGATCCAAAGGACCTCCCCGCTGGCACTTGGAGAACAAGCGGGCCACGGCTCTAATGCGCGCTGAATTCGACTGCCTTGTGCTGGCTGCCAAGGAGCACCCGTCCAATATTTTGCAGGCCCTTCTGCCCCTTGTCAAGCCATCGAGGCCCGTGGTGGTGTTCAGCACCTGCAAGGAGCTGCTGCAGGAGACGTACATGGAGCTGAAGACCTCCGGCAAGGTGACGGGCTTGCACCTGACCTCCAACTGGCTGCGCACCTACCAGATCCTGCCCAACCGCACCCATCCGGAGGTGAACATGAGCGGGAATAGTGGTTACCTACTGACGGGCTATACGCTAAGATAGTTGTTGTGCGACTGCCAAATACATGTAAGCCTTTGTTTTGATAATATCATGCTGTGTTTAATGTTTAATGCCCGGCGAAGATTATGTCCAGTGTGTCTGTACAGCGCTCTGTGTGGAATCGATCTATTTGTTGTAGACTGGCGGCACGTTCTTTAGCACGAAAAAGTGTCCGCACTCGCACCGCTTGGGTCCCTCCTCCTTCTCGAGCCACATCCACTTGGGCATGCGGTCGTCCAGGCACAAGCAGCCCACGAGGCGGGCATCGAACGCGGAGGGCACCTCTGTGGGATCGTTCTCCCTGCCCGAGCCGCGCCTAATGATCTTGGTGAACTGCCAGGGATCCTCGCAGCCCTGCTTGGCCAACTGCATCTCGCGCTTTTGAATGCCGGTGGCCAGTACTTCGTCCTCAATCAGCGCTGATGGGATTACGTTAATGGAATTTTGAAGGGCTCTGCTCGCAACTTACCAGACTTCTGCACCGGAGTTGTGGATATGGGACGCGGTGCGGGTGGAGCCGCTGCTCCTCCCTGGCGTTGCAATCCCAGGCGACGCAGCCAAGAGTTCAGCTTGCCCTCGCGCTGGGTTAAATTCGAGATAAGGCGCTTGGAGGCGGAAGGCGCCTTAAGCAGGCGCGAAATGTACGACGACATTATATTAGCAGTTTATGTCGAAATATACAGAAGTCGCAAGAGAAATTCTTACCTCCAGGTAAGAGAAATAGTTGGAAACTGAGGATTTGGTCTTTAAAATGTTTGATTTTAGATTCAGTGGCCTACTGCCAGCCAAAAAATTGTGAAATTGTTGATCCATTCTTTTAACTTCTTCCTACGCTCCTGTCAAATGAAATCTTTCAACTCTCGAAATCACTTTATTGCCTTTATTGTTCGCGTTTTGTGTATAATTCAGCATCTGGCCTCGATTGCAGTGGTAAATAAGAAGGGGGAGAACTGAAAATGGAAGCTGTGCCGCCCGTTTTCTTTTCCATGTTCACGGTTTCGAATTTTTTGGGTTGATGTTTGTTTATTTGGACAGCTAAATTGGTTGACTTTTAGCTTAGTAGTTGTTGTGGTTTTGTTATTAATTTGTTTATTGAATAATTAATAATAACTTTAAACAGCTGCCTTCTCCACCAGCTTGAACCAGTGGCCGCACTCACAACGCTTCTGGTTGCCCTTCTGCAGCCACATCCATTGCACGTAGGTCTGATCCTCTTCGCCTGGGGAGGAATGGAAAGGAATATTAGAAGGTATTCTACTTGAGTGGGATTGAATTCATGGTCCGGATAATAGCACAGAGTTTTAAACGTTTTTTTTTTGCCAAAATATTTAAATTCTTCTCGGTGACACAGAAACCTATTTCAACAAAATTCAGTTGGAAGGTGAAGATTTCTGTTTCAGACCGAATTTAAGTATCAAATTATTGTTGTTCTATTTTATAATACCTTTATAACACCTTCAATTAAATACTGCGTATTTGTGCAAAATGTGATTATTAAATTGTTTAGCATTTAAGTTTCTTGGGTATTAATAGTCCTCTAATGAGCGCATTTTCAAAACCATAAGGGTCATTTAATAATGTTACTTAGAAAGTTGAACTTAAAATTATTATAATTTAAAAATCTTAAGCTCTGCAGAGGTCAGGAGCACAAAGTAAGAAAGTTGCTTTTGGAGAGCAACCAGATGGAATACATTAAAAGAAAAGATTTGTTTGGCATATTCTTTGTGCTATTATCCAGATCCCTGCTGCTATCCTTAAACTACTCACAGATGCAGCCCACGATGCGGGCGTCGAAGGCCGATGGAATCAGGTTGGGGTTCTCCTTGGTGCCGGCGCCCCGCTTGAAGACCTTCATGTCGAAGGGATTATCGTTGCCGGCGGCCTTGAGCAGCAGCTCGCGCTTCTCGATACCAGTGGCGTGCTCCAGGGGATCGTTCATCACTGCAATGCGGAGAAAGGAGTCAATTAGAATCGTTTGGCTGAGCTCGCAAATTGATAAGCGAGTGGGCGCTCATTGGTTACATAAACAGCAGACGCCCCAAGTCCAGGGGCGTCGTTTACCAAAGGGTTTCGCTCGTTGGATGGGCCGATCCCGGCCAGCTTCCATCGAGGTGCTAACTCCGTGTGGTGGCGCATCACCGCTCCCCCTCCCTTCGGCCCTAAGTCACACATTTCCCTGCGCATAGTTATTACATAACCTCGCACTTTCCAAAGGCACTTTTCTCGGGGGGCCCAAAGCTGCAGTTTCTCAGGGATTATGTTCGCTGCAGCTGGGCAGGTGCAGGTGGGACCTGCTCTCCGCAATTATGCAATTATCCAGCCCAGAATCTCCGCCAATTTGGCGAACGTGACCAGGTAAGCAGCTGTCCGTGGGATTTCCCCTCAGCCTTTCATCCACTTACTTTTGCAGAAGCGCACGGGCGTGTAGGCAACATTCTGGCGTGCGGCGGTACGAAGCGCCAAGCGTCCACAGATCGATGCCATTGTTCGTTTTGCGAAAATTTCGGTCGGTCTTAAAGGGTGAACACCAAAATTCTTTCGTAATTTTTCACACGGCGAAACGGCGTTGCCAGATGGGCTAGACTTAAGGACAGTGCGCGACAGTCCCCCAAAGTTAAGTGTTGCAAAAGTCCCGCCTATCGGCCTATCGATAGCCCGGCGCTGCCATCGGGTCCGCAAGAGGGCGCCACTGCGTTGCCGGGCAACCAACGGTATAAACAAAAGAAATAAATAAAAACTTTGTTGAAACCGCATAAAAAATGTCTAATAAGCCGGTAATCTGCTTTGATACTTCAAAAAATGAACGATTTCAAATATCGGACAACTATAAAATGCTGCACCGCAAGCTGAAGGTCAATTGGAATGTGGAACAGTTAGTATGCCAGCAGATTTAAAAATTCTAGCTTTACCTGCACTTCTTGCATGTCTAAAATATTGTTTTGAAAATATATATAGAATACGGATATAATTTTATTAAATGTTATCCAGCTTTTTTAAAAAAAATATCTTTTGTTTAGTAATAGATTTAAAAATCCTTCTTAGAAAAAAAGTAAAAATTATTGCAGTTTATGATTAATATATGTAGACATTATTAAATATTATAATTATATTGTATTTATGTATTTCGTTGGTATTATCCACTTGTAAGAGACCTACGAACAATATATGTGAATATTAACTTGATATGTAAATTTATCATACTATACCTCTTATAGAAACGATGCGGAGCTCAGAAAAGAGCGACTTGCACGGGTTAAAGTCTTTGTTCTGGCCGGACCTCAGGATCGCTTCACTGAGGACGAATTTGAGGTGCTCAAGCACTACGTGGAGGTGCAAGGGGGAAGTCTGCTGGTGCTCCTGGGCGAAGGCGGGGAGCCCGAGTTCAATACCAACGTGAACTTCTTCCTGGAGCAGTACGGGATCTACATCAACGGGGACAATGTGGTGCGACCGCACTACTACAGGAATTTCCATCCCAAGGAATGCATCGTGGGTGGCGGCGTTGTCTGCGAGTCCATGTGGCGACACCTCCTCAAGCTGGACATCGAGAAGGTGGACTACGATTTCAGTGACGAGAAGTACAAGATACACTTTCAATATCCGTATGGAGCCACTCTGAACGTTTCTGAACCGGCGAATGTCCTGCTGACCACGGGACCAGTAGTGTATCCCTTTAATCGCCCCTTGGCAGCCTACTTTACTAACGGGAATGGTGGAAAAATCCTTGCGCTGGGCTCTGGCTACATTTGGCATGATAAGTATCTTCAGGACAAAACCAACGATGCCATCTTCGAGTACTTGCTTAAGCTGCTTGGAGGAGACGAGATCACCTACAGTCATTTGGATTTCAATGATGTGGAGGTGGGTAAAAAGGATACAATTTGTATTACATTTTGTAAACAACAAGTTTACCGAATTTTACTGGTTTAATAAGCCTTCGCTATATTTATTTTCCTAAATAAAATGACATTTCCTATAAGGTTTTAAAAATAAACAAGAAAGGAAGCTACCTTCGGCCAGCCGAAGCTTATATACCCTTGCAGATAAAGTAATACTCACTGCAGTTCCAGGGATTCCAGATTCAGCGTTTGTATTTTTGAATTTTGTTTTTAAGTAGTCAAGAATTAAAACGCCTACTTCCTACAAAGTAACAATGAATTTTCTTATATATGTTTGAATATTCCTATGGGAGCCTTAAGATATAGTGGTCCGAACCGGCTCGCTCCGACATATGTACTACCTGCAATAGAAAGAAGACTTTCGGGAAAGTTTCATCGCGATAGCTTTAAAACTGAGAGACTAGTTCGCATAGAAACGGACAGACGGACATGGCTAAATAGTCTCGGCTATTGGTGCTGATCAAGAATATATATACTTTATGTGGTCGGAAACGTCTCCTTCACTGCGTTGCAAACATCTGACTGAAATTATAATACCCTCTACAAGGGTATAAAAAGGGGAGATTAACCATTAGATAGACATTTAACAATAATGAATAATTAAAAAAGTCAAATTTCCTTGCTTATCCCTCACAGCTCAGTGACAATAAGCACTTCACCGACCTGGCGTTTCTGGCCGACATGCCCAAGGCCTGTCTTATCGACTCGATTGGCACCGAGATGCCCACGGACTTCAAGCAGATGTTCGACATGAAGCTCTGTGCTCTGAGCAACCACCTGCTCAAGGAGGTCATCGACGCCTACGAACAACTGCACGTTAAGTACGAGCCGCTGAGGATCATCAAGCCGCAGTTCGAGATCCCGCTGCCCAACCTCCAGTTGGCCACGTTTCCGCCCATCTTCAGCGAGCCGCCCGCTCCGCCGCTGGAGCTGTACGATCTCGACGAGACCTTCAGCGGAGCTCGATCCCAACTGGCCCACATGACCGGCCAGTGTCTCCAGGCGCTGCAGTCGAAGGAACCGCAGCGGAGGGCCCTCAACCAGCGGGAACTGGAGAACTATGTGAAGGAGTGCGCCAGAATTACGGCTATTGTGGACGAGCGACAGGATATGGCCGCCCGCGAAATACTCAACATTGTGGCCCGCCAGATTGTCAGCTACAGACCTTATGCGGAGGACGCTCCGGTTACGAAATTCCTCGCAACTTTTTTCGGGCCAATCAGCAGAAACAGAATTATGTGAATATAAAATATATAAATTGAAAACCTAGTCTGTTTTATGTAAACATGTTGGCGACTCGAATTCAAACATGGCCGGCAAGCCAACGTTTCTCCGCAGGGCTCCCGAGTTAAATTACACCGAAGGCAATTTTTGGAGTGCGGGAAACACAAAACCTGTGGGAAGTAAAGCTATATTGCTGCACTTATCCGTGGTTCTCCTATCGTTTAGTACGAAAATTGTTTACTTAACACAATTAATTATTTGTATTAATATTTCCCCATACGTCAAGGGCTCCTCTTACCCCGCCGATCGCCCCGAAAGATTCTCCGAGGAGCTGTTCTGTTTTTAGGTGTCAACAATTTGTTTCCGCTTTTCGAGAGGGGAAGTCCCGTCCCTCGCTGCTAATTGGTATGATAGGCAGGGGACGGGGAGGTTTTAGTGTGTGAAACCGCTAGTTAATGCTTGTCACAACAAATCTTGTCATCAATCTAGACTCCCTGGGGAGACCCACTGTCCCAGGGAGTGGAGTCCTGTAAAAAACTATTGCGCAACTGGCGGTTGTAAATTGTTTAGATTTTCTTTTCTATCAGACAAGAATTCTCTGGAGCTTAAGTGCTGCAGGATGCGTTAAGGAAGGAAAAGCATACCTGAAAACAGTTGCTGATCTTAAAAAACCAAATACATTTTTAAAGGAGTTCAAACTGAGAGTTGTTTGGAATTGAATAATCCTTGGCAGAAAGTCAAAATATATACAAATATTATAAAGATAAGTTTGGAAATCGAATTACATCAGACCAAACATCTATTTCGCATTATTTCAGACATTAATTCAAATCAGAGAACTTTCACGTTAGCCAGTAAATGGTTAAACCATTTATCTGTAAATTATAGGCTCATTCCACGTGAAACGTGACAGGCCAATTTGGGTCAAATCTCAGAATCAATCGAAACTTTTTTTTTCGATAGAGGACTGAAATATAAGGATCGGTTATTATTTTTTTTTTTAAACTCTTACCGTTTATTTAAAAAAAATAATTTTCTAATTAAGCTCCGATTTTTCAGTTATGCATCACTTGAGACTCGTTTGAGTTATTTTAATATTTGGTATGCAACTTTGTGGGATATGTTCATGTCTTTCAGAAAAAAATTTCAAAAATTTTAAATTTTAAAATGAAGTATTTTTTAGGAGAATTTAAATTTTAAAAAATTCTGTACGCCGAAATACACGCGGTTTCCGAATAAAAAAAAAATCCTCATATTGCTTCATCAATTCTTCACGAAGTGGTAAAATAAAATTTGTGTATTTGCAAGACCTACTAGTAAAGACAACGATTTTAGTTTGGCAACTTTGCATAAAGCAACAACAGCGCAACGTGTAAGTATATACTTAAGCATTACTATATGGTACTCCAATATACTTATACAGAAGAAGGATAACCATATTTTCAGATATATATTTCTGCACAACCTTGGAATCTTTAGAATATTTTTATAAAGGACCAGGAAGTTTTGTATCAGTCATATATTATTTAAATTAATTGAATAAAACTGTTATTTTTTTTAAATATTACAAACAACCCCTGTTAATATTAATATTCCCCACGAAAGCCCTCCTTCGAACAGCCAAGACTGGTGGTGGTGGTGACCCCAACTCCCCGACAACGGCTGTTCAATCAATCAATATTGAAGGTTCCCACACCGCAGGCGGGGAACTGGAACTGCATGGGTCCCCCGATCCCTCGCTTGTGTGTTGGCCATTTTGTTTGCTATTTCTGTTTGGTTTTTTCTTCTGCTGACCGCTAAATATAACGTTGGACGGCTAAGCCGAGAAGGTGGAAAGGCGGTTCGGGGTGCAATAATCTGTCGGGGGAAAAGAGGTTGGGCTGAAATCGGATACGAGCCAAGTAGGAAGTTACCTTGAGTGCATTTCTATATATTGACAGTGACAATGCCCGCCCAAGTCCAAGTTGCAGTTCATTCATGGTTTCAGTTGGTTCTCCTTTTCTTTTCTTTTTAATTTTTAATGCAAACAGGTTCACAGGCTCACAGCACAGAAGCCGCACAAGTTTTTCCCGGCTGCTCATCCTCATGCTCGTTCGCCTTCCACTTTTCCTCAGTCACCTGGCCACCAAGAGGCGTTTCATTAACTGAAGGGAAAACGATTTTATTTCTGCCGATTCTGTTTGCCGAACGAATCCAGCTGTATTTGCCGCACTTCCGTTCTCCCAAAACCAAGCGCAAATATTCGGAAAAGTCCTGACTTTTCAAGTGGTCTGTTTGACTTTTCGTCGGCATCCCTTTTCCCAGCTGGGATTTTCTGGACCCAAATGCAGTTTAATAAATTAGTTATCTTCCCAAACTGTCCAACATTTGTCACCTGTGAGAGAGGCTTGTATGGGTGGCGGGGAAATTCCGGGAAAACCCTCATGAAGCACGCAGTGATGCGGGTCGTCGCGACATCATTTTAATTAAATTACAGCCACCAAAACGTGCGACACTATAATAATTTTTATTCATTGTCAAAAATGGGCAATCATAAAAAACAACACGTCTGCATCGCAGCTGGTAAAGGTGGAGTTGTGGGTTGCCCTAGGGGAGGGGAGAGTGTGCGGGGGAAGCTGGCCAGACACGTCCACATCCACAAACATAAACAGACACTATCTCACATAAAGGGAATGTAACAATCAATTAGCAGGCCAGATAGGTTCAGAACGGGGATTTTGATTAACCCTTTGGTATCAGGCTTTACTAACCAAGTTAAAAAAATTATATTTCTAAATTTATATTTATGAAATTTTAAAGATTTTCTATTAATATTTGACTGATTTTTAAACCTGCAAAAAAATATAAAATATCAGTTTAAGATAGCCTGTATGTCCCTGTCATATTACATTTAAAATTTTCTAGTTTTCACAGTTTAACTTGATCTTTTATTTTCCAAAATGCACTTAAATACCATAAAATAATATTTTAAATATTTATAATTGAAAATTGCGACTTTTCTATTAATTTCCGTTTACTTTACTATTATTTATAAGAAGGAAATTACTCTAAAAATGGAAGATATTTTGTAGTCGTATCAGGGGATAGTGAATATCGGTTGACGGACTTAACAGAATATTTTAAAAGTTTTTTTCTATTTTTTTTAATTTTTCCCTGCTTTATGATTTTTAGTGTTTCGCGTTCTTGGCCCCTCTCACCCGCGACAGGGTTAAATCGCTCCGGCAGGCGTTGACCCAAGATTGGCTTGGCACGCTTCTTCGTCCGCTTGGCTCTTTGTCTCTGTCTTGGTCGGCCCGTGGTTGTTGTTGTCTTTTACTGGCAGGGCCGCGTTGTTGTGGCTGTCGCTGTGGGGCCCAATGTCAATGTCTATATGGCCATCATCGGAATAGAAAGCTTGTCTTTTACGCTCTGGCATTGTTATTAATTTATCATTAAGTCGCCGTTGTACAACAAGCTCTAATGATGCGTGTAAATGCTAAACAAATCACACACTCCACCCAGAAAACACCGATTTGAAATCCAAAATATCTCACACCAAGCCAGGGGAAAAATGCTCGAAGCGCGTGTACAATTTAAAATGAAATAAAATCAGACTGCGCAGCTTTCGAAATTTTATGAGCTTGTTGTGCTTATTAGTCGCACCGCGAGAAATGGCGACAGGCCACAACACCACCAAAACAACGACAACCAGAACAGGAACAGCAACAACCACAACATGCATTTCCACGGCTAATTTTTCACGCGCACTCCGTCTCCATTCCCGTTGAAAAAGTCGGCAACCGACAGCGACAGCTCCTGACCAGGCTATCACTTGCCAAAGTTCCACCAAGGGTATCATTGTTATTGTGTGGCCTTTGTGCTAAAACTTGTCTAATTTCCGGCAGAAAAAATATTTATAAATTCAATATTAGATGGAAATTATAGGACTTCTAAAAGGGATATGTAAAAATTATTTATCAAAAATATATATACTTTATTTGATAATGCAATTAACGTTGTAACTCAGACCCAAATTATATTTAAATTATAATCACACCAGAATTACATGTTTTGTAGCTTTTATTTTATCACCGGCTTTTATATCTTTTATTTTCGATTTATTAATACAAATTCCTATCCCCTTTCCAATGCAGATAGGTCACCCAGCATTCGACGATCTACATTTAGCTGCCGTAGGTTCCTTGTGCTTTATTTTTATATTTTTTGGCACGCCAGACACGCACGAGAAATTCCAAGAGATAAGGATCGTGTACGACAAGGTGTATTATGGACCCCCAGTCCAGAGTCCCCAGCCTCGGAGCCCCCGTCGCATTGGCCCCCCGTTCGGCAGCCAAAGGCCCACTGTCCTCCAGTCGAAGCTGTGCCATACTGTCGAGTGCCATACTGTTGACTCTGTTAAATTGCCAATATTTATGGTCCTGCCTGCGCGGGCTGACTTGTTAAATGGGTGTTCCCTCCAGCAGCCTTTCAGAGGATGCCATCCCGAGTTCCACACCGTGGTCCGAGTTCCTGGGGTCCCGTGGTCCCCTCCAGAGTTGGTAGCTGCAAAACGTTTAAAGACAAAACGTGTTGGCCCGATAAGGCAGCTGGCCGTGGCGAAGGGCCCGGGCCATCAATTTTGACGTATGCCCGTCAAAGTTTTTACGGGCCAGCACGCCATTTTGAAAGTGCCCCCATAGATCGAGACCAGATCCAGTATCTCTCTCTGTTTCTACATATGTACTTATGTGCAGCTAAGCAGAAATGTGCAATGTCGTCGCTGAAGCTATAAAAATGTCAAAACATGCAGCAAATAATGAAGAATTATAAAGAAATCTAGCGAGAGCAAAAATCACACAAAATAAGAGCACGTCAGTCGCAACGTCGGTCCGTCCGTCATTCTGCCCCTCAGTTCGTCGAGCTCTATACAAATAATACCCCGTCGTCTGTGGCTTATTCTCTACAAAATGCTAAGGTGGCTCGAGTTCAGGTGATTTCTTGTAATCGGATAATAAAGTTAAGGGAGCTCTTTACATTTG